CAACATCTTTGTTGGTATGTGGTGCTGAGGATCGAACCTGGGCCGCACGCATGCCAGGTGAGCGCGCTACCGCTTGAGCCACATCCCCAGCCCACCAATTGTATTTCTTAAAACCAGCCAAAGGCTCAGCTTGCTTTAGGGCCTGCCTGGCCCTGCCCTGCCACCACCCAGCTCCCCATGTGATCCAGAGTGGGCCTTTGCGTATCCCTGCAGAAGCCACAAAGTGCTGAACTGCTAGCGGGCTGCCCTTTCCCTCCCCTGGGGTGACTGGGCCTTATGGCAACYCTGGCTCTGTGTTGTTTCTCCCACCCAGGCCTCCACTTGCCACCCGGCTGCTGGCCCACAAGATCCAGTCCCCACAAGAGTGGGAGGCCATCCAGGCCCTGACGGTGAGAAGGGGACAGAGGGTACCGTCTGTCCCCAGCCAGGTGATGGCACCAGGGAAGGCCAGACTGAGGGTCCATCGGCTCTACTTAAGAGTTCAGGGGAGTTGTAGGTGGGGGAGAGGAAGCTTTTTATTATTTTAATAATTATGTATTAGTATGTGTGAGGTTTAATCCTGATTTCACAGATTAGTTTAGAATAGTGCCAAAATAGATAATGCCAACTTAAGTTTTAACAAAGAAAAAAATTAGCAAAATTGTGTCCAAGTGATGCTGGGAGGTGGCCCCTGTGGTGAAGGGGGTCACTGCAGTGCTGCAGGTGGAGCGACCGGTCACTGTACAGCCCCTGGCCACATCCCTAGCCGGTCAGACCAGTCAGACGCCTCTGAGCCACAGAATCTTGGTCCTCACGAGTGCTCACCCTGGCCTCATGGGCCCTGTGGGGGTGTGGGAGACACCGCCTCCCCTGGGCCCTCACCTCCGTCCCGCCCAGGTGCTGGAGACCTGCATGAAGAGCTGCGGCAAGAGGTTCCACGATGAGGTGGGCAAGTTCCGCTTCCTGAACGAGCTCATCAAAGTCGTGTCTCCCAAGGTGGGTGCCCCAGCCTGAGCTACACATGCTGTGTCAGACGAGGGCCACAGAAGGAAGACGCCCAGACAGGCCCCCTGGCGAGCCCCTCAGCCCCTGTGGACCTTGTACCCAGTAGAGGCACAGATTCTTTCTCACGGCCCCTCCCATCCGAGTCCAGTAGCTTGAAGCGTCTGAGAACACTTTCGGCTGACCGAAGGCAGGCAGCTGTGGAGCTGCTCGGTCCTCAGGGAAAGCTGGTCCCAAGGAATGGCTTGTCCTATTCAGGCTGCCCTGGCCTCAAGATTACTCCCTGCAGGCCTGGCCATGGCACCCTACCTGGCCTCTGACACACCTCAGCTTCTGGCCTTTGGCCTGAGGAGTCCTCCCCCACAGGTCATGGACATGTTCAGTGGGGTGAGAGCCCACCTGTTTACCATTCCTTGCTCAGACCTGTCCTTTGATCAGAGCTGCTATATAATGCGGGTGGTCCCCGCCCTTCTCCCACAAGACAGCTCTGGAGGTAGAGCCCCTCTCCAGCCCGTTTGCTGTTGGAACTTGTTTGCGGGGCCCAGGGCCCAGAGTGCCACACTGCTGCTTCCTGGTCAGCCTGGGAGCGTCTGGCTCCTCCTCCTTGAGATCTCAAGGTTAAGTCATCCATGAGCTGTGAGCAGGCCCTGGGCTCTGGTTTTCCTGCGTTGGCTCTCCAGCCACGCCTCTGTGGGGGAACTGAGTCACAGGGAGCTGACACATCCAATAGGTGGCAGAGCTGGGAGGTGAGGTCAGTCTGCACCAGCCTAGTGTGGCGAGGGTGTGAGGACCCCAGAGTCCAAAGGCTCCCGAGGGAGTCCTGGGAGGCAGCTGGTCCAGGGTGGGCTTGCAGTGAAGGGGGCCAGGCAGTGTCAAAGCATCTCCTCCTCGTGTCCTTTAAGTACCTGGGCTCCAGGACGTCCGAGAAGGTGAAGAACAAGATCTTGGAGCTGCTCTACAGCTGGACGGTCGGCCTGCCCGAGGAAGTGAAGATCGCAGAGGCCTACCAGATGCTGAAGAAGCAGGGTGAGGCCCAGAGAGTGTGGGGACCAGCAGCCCTCCCCCTCCAGCAGTTTCAAGGGCTTCTGGGCCTGCAAGATCGGAAACTTTACTTTCTCAAAAACATAAAGCCAGCACATGCAGTGGCACATGCCTATATCCCAGTGGCTCGGGAGGCTGAGACATGAGGATTGTAAATTCAAAGTCAGCCTCAGCAATTTAGCAAAGCCCTAAGCAATTTAGCAAGAATCTGTCTCAAAAAAAAAAAAAAAAAATTAAAAGGATGTGGCTCAGTGGTTAAGCACCCATGGGTTCAATTTCTGGTACCAAAAAAAAAAAAAAAAAACCAGTCAGTGGGACCTTTCTGTGGCTTTCTGGAGCACAGCCTGGGTGGAGAAAAGGTAGCGTTGGGCCTCTTCTCCTCAGAGAGTGACCTTAAACAATGGATGGCCAAACCCTCTTTTTTTACTGTTCAGTATGGTAGGTCCGGGGTAGACCCCAGCCCCCCAAAGTCAAGAACCAGTGTGCTAGAGAGACCAGCTTTGGCCTCTGTCCTGTACCTTCCCATCTCGCCCTGCCCTGGGCGCTGGGATCTGCTGACAGCCTTCTGACTTCATCTACCCCAGGGATTGTGAAGTCGGACCCCAAGCTTCCCGAGGATGCCATCTTTCCCCTCCCCCCTCCACGGCCCAAGAATGTGATCTTCGAAGATGAGGAGAAGTCCAAGGTGAGACTGCAGGGAGAATCATGTGGCACCTCGGCTGGTTTGGGCCAGTGATTTCTGTCTCCTGGCTGCCCAGGCCTTGGCCTTTGGAGCAGAGGCTTCTGCTGAGCATAGTCACTCTAGAGGGTGACAGGCACTGCGTGTTGACTACTTCCCATACAGTGTCCCTGCATTTGATAAACACAGGAGTTGTCCTTGGGATTGGTTTGAGGAGTTACATATATTTATACCTTTTATTAACAATTTATTAGCTTTTTGTTAAAGAAGCATGCACTTGTGGATAAGAAATTTAGCAGCAGAGGAAGAATATTAAACCAAGGACTGTAACATGGAGGTGGGAATCAACGCTGCTCTCTCCCCAGCCCCAGAGGCCACCACTGTTGAGTCTCCCACCTCCTCCTAGAAAGGTTCTCAGAAAGCCCGAGTAGCAGAAGGAGCTCTGTCTGTTGAGGACCTGCCTCTGCCAGGCTCTGTGTGCAGGGCCTCAGTAGTCTTTATGGTCACCCGTCAGGTATCTGTCAGTTCTCACCATCCTAGAGAGCTTTAGCCATTGCCCAGGTCCCACACCGGGAGACGGGGAGCTGGACTGTGGCCCTCGGCCTAGTGCTGGCCTCACAGTTACACGCCTGTCTCCTCAGATGCTGGCCCGCCTGCTGAAGAGCTCCCACCCCGAGGACCTCCGGGCAGCCAACAAGCTCATCAAGGAGATGGTGCAGGAGGTGACGGCTGGGCCCAGAGCCCAGGGAGGAGCCAGGGTGGGAGGGTGGAGCTGGGCCACTGAACTGGGACTGTGTGTGCACAGACAGGGGACCTGCCGTGACCCAGCTAGAGGGTTGTCTCAGCAAAGGGCTGTCACTAGGGGCCCAACATGTGGAAGGAAGAATTTCCCCGTGGTTCGACACAACCTGCCCTGGACGGACTTCTGCAAAACCGGTGCCCGTTCCAAAAACATCAGAAATTATTGAGAGCTGGGGGTGTGGCTCAGTGGTAGAGGGCTTGCCTGGCCTGTGTGAGTAACTGGGTTCAACTCTCAGCACCACTTATAAGTAAATAAATAACATAAAGGTCCATCGACAACTAAAAAGAAAAGGTTAAGGGTCAGCCTGCTGTGGTGGTGTGTCATTGTAATCCAGCTACTCAAGAGGATGACAAGTTCTAGGCCAACTGAGGCAATTCAGAGAAACCCTATCTCAAAACAAAAAAATTTAAAGAGGGCCGGGATGTAACTCAGTTAGGTCACTTGCCTAACATTCTCGAGACCCTGGATTCAATCCCCAGTATCACCAAAAAAAAAAAGTGAAGGGCTCTGAGGCAGACTTTGCTGGGACAGGAGGAGGCGACCCTGTCCCTGGGGTCTACAGCGCTCATCCAGCTGCAGCCCCCGTGACTGGATCACCAGATCACCAGAAAATCCTGAAATCTGGATTTTCTTTTTTTTTTTTTTAGTGCACTGTAGTTACACATAATAGTGGGGTTCATTTTTCATATCCTCAGTGCACATAACAGTTTTCTCCATTTCAGCCCCCCAGTGTTAGCTCCCTTTCTCCCCTTCTTCCTCCCCCAGAAACCTGGATGTTCGAATGAAGTCTCCCACTTCCCCACTGATAGCAGCCACTTCACAGTTGATTTTTTAAGTTTGGTCTCCACAGAAGCTGCTGGTTCCTTCTTCCTGGGAAGGGAGTCTGGTCTGGGCAGGTGGCCGGGCTCAAGCTCAGGTCTTAGATGGATTCTGCCAAGGGATCCTTTGGGGACCCTGCACAGGCTCTGGAGAGTGTGTGCCCAGAGGCTCAGAGGGCAGGACCTCGGGTCATCTTGAAGGACTGAGCCGTGTGTCCACCTTTGCCCTGCAAGGGAGGTACTTGCACAGTAAGCAGGCAACTTGCTTCCTGCACTAGCTCTGGTTTTGTTTTTGTTTTTCTTTTTCTTTTTTCAGTGGGGGGTGTTATTGGGGATTGAACCCAGGGGTGCTCTTCCACTGAGCTACGTCTCAGCTCTTTTTATTTTATTGTGAGACAGAGTCTCACCAAGTTGCTGAGACTGGACTTAAACTTGCTGTCCTCCTGCCTCAGCCTCCCAAGTAACTGAGATTAGAGGTGTGTGCCACTGTGCCCAGCTCTATAGCCACCCTTAAAGGCCAAGAGCTCGCAAACTCGGCACCACCCACTGACACTGGCAAGGGCACTGCACTGACTTCTAGGGTGGTTTGGTGACCGTGACTGACCCCCTTCACTGTCAAGTACAGGAACCTGGTTTCAAGAAACAAACACAAGGAGGGGCGGGGGTTGCTTGGAACCACAGGTGTGGCTCTGAGGCCCTGGTCCTTCAGGAGCACCTGGTGAGAGCATGGGACACTGGATTCCTGGGCTCTCTCTGCAGACTCTGATGAGTTTGTGCAGAGGCCTGGGCCCAGGGGGCGCTGTTAGAAGGGAAGGAAGTGACTGCAGGGGGCTTCCTGGGCCACAGCACCCTGTCCCGAGTGTTGGGTTCTGTAAGGTGTAGCAGGCTCCACCTGGAGCAGATGGCACGCTAGCCACCCCTCTGCCAGACTCCAGTGCGCACTTTCTGGGGTGGGCTAGGCAGTGCCTGGCTCCCACTGGGCCTGACACAGGCTTTCGGGGTGTTGCTGCTGCTTCCCAGGACCAGAAGCGGATGGAGAAGATCTCCAAGCGGGTGAATGCCATCGAGGAGGTGAACAACAACGTAAAACTCCTGACGGAGATGGTGATGAGCCACAGCCAGGGCGGCACGGCGTCCGGCAGCAGCGAGGACCTCATGAAGGTATGTCCGCCCCTCCCCACTCCCAGACTTTTCCAAAGCCCATGTCCACCCTGACACCCCTACCCTGCTGTCCCCAGGAGCTGTACCAGCGCTGTGAGCGGATGCGGCCCACACTCTTCCGACTGGCCAGTGACACAGAAGACAATGATGAGGCCCTAGGTGAGCCTGGGGTCAGGTGCAGCCCCATCCCTGAGCCTCTTGCCCGACCTTGTCCAGGTCCTGCCAGACAAGGGCAGCTGGAAGCAGCCGCCACCAGGGGGCCTCCTCCTCCATCCTGACTGTGGTGTCTCCACCTTGAGGAAGGAGGAGGCAGAGAGCAGGGCTACTGCCGGTGTCCTTAGGAGACCCTGTGAGCTGGGCCCCTCACAGACATCTCATTTACTGCCCACAAGCTGCACATTGTCTCCTTTTCACAGCTGGGCTCAGCGAGGGAGAGACGAGCCCAAGCCACAGAGCAGAACACGGCGGAGCCAGGGTAGACAGTCCTGCTGCTGAGATTGAGCTGGAAACTCAGAGTGAATCTTGAAGCCCTAGCAGTTACAGAACTGAGCCTGGTGGCCTCTGCAGGGCCACACAGTAGTTTCTTTTCCTTGTCCTCTGCCTGCATATCAGCCAGAGCCCCTGGGCAGTGGTCGGTGGTGTCTCCTCCCCTGGTGCTATGGCACAGCCCCCGGAGCGCCTGTCTCGCCAGGCACCTGGCTTCTCCCATGAGGATCCTCAATGCCCAGGTTGCTTTAGCTCTGGCGCCCAAAGAGGCCATAGTGTGAGGACCTAGTCTGTCCCAGGCACTCCGGCCCTTGGGGTACAGCCATGTGGAAGTTGCCCAGCGTCTGCTGGAGGCGCTGTGGCCTAATGAAGGGAAGCAGTGATGGCCAGGACTCATGCCCTGCTTGTCAGGCAGCTTGTCAGGCAGTGGTGGCTGCTTGGAGGAAGGAGGCAGGAGACGAGGGGTGGGTAGGGAAGGACCCCTGAGTTGCCTCTGGGGGAAGACCTGAAGGCACTAGGGCCAAGGCCACCGAGGCCTGAGGCGTCCCACGCAGAGCCAGTGTGGACACCTGGAGGTAGGAGTGTTCCTGGGATGCTCGGGCAGCAGGCAGCGTGGAGGGCGCCTGAGGTGGGGTGCGAGGTGGAGAGAGCAGGGGCCTGGGGCTGAGTAGTCAAGACAGGACCCCCGACCCTACTGCCTGGGGCTGGGGGCTGTGAGTGCTCCCCTCGCCCACCCGAGGCCCCACGTTCCTTTAGCCCGGCATCTCCCCTCCTGCCTTTTCCAGCGGAAATCCTGCAGGCCAACGACAACCTCACTCAGGTGATCAACCTGTACAAGCAGCTGGTGCGGGGCGAGGAGGTCAACGGCGATGCGGCCGCCGGCCCCATCCCTGGTGAGGAGGTGGCAGGAGAGCTGGGAAGGGACCTTCCAGGCTGGAGGCACAGAGTGGAAGGAGGCACCCTGGTCCCAGAGCTGTTGACATGATTGCCAAGGTGACCCTGGCCCCTTAAGATGGGGAAGCCCCAGGGGAGAAGCCTGGACCACGTCTGTGCGAGGCTGCAGCTGGGGGGGACGTCAGGGAGCGGGCGGGAGCGGGCATTGGGCGAGAACAGACAGGAGAAGGAGGCCTTTCTTCCACTTGGTGAATCAGGCACCTGCTCTGTGGGCTGAGTGACACCCCCAAGGCCTGATTTAACCACAGAAAGCAGGAGGGAGGATCAGGCACGAGAAGACAACGGACTCGGCTCACACCAGGGTGAAACCGCAGCCTGGGATGGTGCAGGACTGGAGTTGGCCCTGTTGGGCGGCAGGGGCACCACAGAAGTGGCAGAGTGCCAGCAGGGCTCAGGGATGGGGAGTGGTGCCATGGGAGAAAAGGAAACACGGGCACATCCTGCCGAGTGAGGTTTTGTTAGTGACCAGTCACACATTCGGTGGTGGTCCCATAAGATTGTGTCACCTTATGACATCGTAGCATTGTTTGCTACCTGGTTTACATGAGTACACTCTGTGGTGTTCACACCAGTGATGATATCTCCCAGAACGTGTCCCTGTTGTTAAGTGAGGCGTGACTGAGTTCTAAACAGAAGTACCACTGTGTCTAAGGAGGGCCTGGGAGCTGATTCCAGCTGGGCTGGTGTGGCCATGGAGGGGCAGCAGGAAGCCATTCTAAGGGTGGGAGGATGGTGTCGCTAGCCTGCAGCCCCCACGCTCCAAGGGCCAAGCGTCCACCTAGGACTGGCCCAGCTCTCCTTTCCCACCCAGGGAGCACCTCGGCCCTGCTGGACCTGTCAGGCCTGGATCTCCCACCCACGGGCACCACCTACCCAGCCATGCCCCCCCACCCTGCGGACCAGACCAGCCCCGAGCAGCTCAGCACCTCAGTTTCTCTGCTGGATGATGAGCTCATGTCTCTAGGTGAGGGTGGAGCCAGCCCTGGAGGAGGGAGGGGAGGCCCTGGCGGTGGGCATGCGCTGGGGCATGATGCCCAGGGCACACCTTGCAGCTCGCCAGGCACCAGCATTCTGCACTCCAGATGTGGATCTGGTGAGGGCGTGAGGTGGGTGGAAGGCCAGTTCATGGCTGAGGAAGCCAAGGCTCAGGGAAGTTAGGAGTGAGGTCACACAGTCAAAGGGCGAGGCTGGCCAGCCTCAGGAGCCCTGATGAGCAGCCACACCCAGGCTCGGCACCTGCAGGAAGACTCAGGGACTTCCCTCCTCAGGAGCCAGGAGCTACGGGCACCCAAGGTGCTGTGTGACCCATGGTAGTCCTGGGCCAGGCTGCTGGCACTGGAGTGTGGCAGAGGACCAGGCTCCCTGCGGGAGAAGCAGGTGGCTCAGCCAGCAAAGCTGTTTTCCAGTCTCAAGCCCCTCTGGGTGCAGCAGCCCCACCTAGAAGAGGCATGAATAACATTCTCCTCCTGATAGCCACTGAGGTCAAGAAAAGGGGTGCCAGGGCCCCGTCAAGGAGTATGTGGGAAAGCCATGGCTTGGAAGCCGAGAGCCATGCTGCATTTTCCTGAGCCAGTTCTTGAGTAGAAACTGAACCTGGAGCCAGGGCTGCAGCTCAGAGCAGACGCTGGGCATGTGCCGGGTGCCATCCCAGCATCTTCTCTCACTCACGAAGCGACAGCTGCCCGGGTGGCAGGTCTGCCTGGTGTTCTGGAGTGTTCCTGCAGCACAGCGCCCAGTGCCGCGTTGTGTCCCCGACAAGCCTCCGAGCACCCCGGGATGCAGGTGGGATGCAGGTGCTGCTCGGGTCCCTGTTGTGCAGATGAGTCAGCAGGAAGGGCTCTGGGGGTGAAGCGGGCTGCACTGCTCTCCTTTGTTCCTTTAAGAAAAGGGCAGTGACTTACAAAAACTTGTGAGAGATGATGATGGAAAATTTTAAAAAAGAAAAAATGAAAAGGGCAGTGCGGACTGTGGTCTCCCCGCCAGCACCTGCCTAAGAGCCGGGGTGACCTGTGGCAAGGACGCTCACGCAGGTCGCTTGTGCCTGGCAGAGCTGGGCCAGGCAGCGGAGGACAGGGGAGCGACGACAGGACTCTGTCCCTGTGGCAGAGCAGCCCGCGCACGCGAGCAAGGTGTGCTGCTTGGCGTTTCCTGTCCCCCAGTGGCTGCCGCAGAGCTCTGTGCCTCCAGCTTCCTCTGGTTTCTTCTCAGGGGCAGAGTGTGGGACAGGAACCAGAAGTGCAGGCGGCTCACAGCCCAGCCCTGGGGACGGGACGGGGAGTCTGGTCCTGACTGCTCCCTGGGGCAGGAGGGGCGGGTGGTGGTCAGGGCTCCTGTCCGTCAGGGCATTCTGGCCTACTCAAGCCATCTCTCAGGTGTGAGAGCCGCTGCTGTGGCCTCAGTTCAAAGGTGAGACCCAGGGAGGCCAAGTGACAGAGGTGCCTGTAGAGACACCAGCAATCAGATTGCCTGATCAAGTCTGGATTCTGTCACTTTTCCAACTGTGTGACCTGGGGCAGGTGACTTAACCCTTCATCCCTTAAAGAATTCACACCTACCTTTTAAGGTCATTTGAGGATTAAGCAAGACCCACTTTTTTTTTTTTTTTTAATACCTTGAGACATGGTCTTGCTAAGTTGCTGAAGCTGACCTCAAACTTAAAATCTTCCTGCCTTATCCTCCCAAGTCACTGGGATGGCAGGTGTGTGCCAGCACTTCCAAAGTGCCCACACTCTGGGCACAGCAGATGTCAACAGTGACACTGTTACCTCTGGTCTCAAAGGTCTGTACTGGCTGGAGACCAACAGTCCCAGCTTCTTGGAGCCCTCTCCTCTGCCTGCCAGAGGGTACTTCAGTTTGGACCTACCTCACTCAGAAGTTGCAGGGTCACACATCTTTTCTAGATCAAACCCCAGAGTGAGCGAGGCTGGGGGTGTTCCAGGTGGAGGTCAGGCTAGTTAACGACCTCCTGCTGACCAGCAGGCCAGTCCCTAGAGCCATCCAGAGGGCCTAGTGGTCCTGGACTCCCGTCAGTTGGCCTTATTGACCTATGCCAGGGGATCCATGGGGACACTGAGGCTTAGCCGCCACAGTGCTTGCTCAGGCTGCTCAGACGACACCCCTTGAATCAGCTATCAGGCAGGAGGACAGTGCTGACCCCTGCTTGCCTGGACCTGTGTGGTTAGGAGTCTCTTCCCCTCGCCACCACCCCAGCACCCCCCTCAGCCACCAGCTGAGGAACATAAGGGGAAGTCCTGACTTCTGTCCTTGAAGCGGCTTCACAGTGGCCTGCTGAGAAGAGAAGCACATGTGGCTACAAAATGGGCTTCTGGGACTTCACTATTTCTGTCCACCACCAGTTCCCTCTGAAAGTGCGGGTTTCTCCCTTCTGAGCCAAGCTTCTCAGAAATAGGGGGTTGGGGAACCCCAGATCAGCAGCCATGCCCAGGCCCCTCACCCCTGTGCGCCCAGTCCAGCCCCTTCTTTTCCTGTCCTTCCTCAGGCCTGAGTGACCCCACACCCCCTACAGGCCCCAGCTTGGACGGTGCTGGATGGAACAGCTTCCAGGTAGGAGGGGCCTGGAACAGCCCCACTTATCCCAGCCCCTGGGGCAGTGGGGCAGGGGGACAGGGAGGAGCAGCCTGAGGGTGACAGTGAAGGGACCTTGGGCTCCCTGGTGGCACACCCAGGGAAGAGAGAAGCAGTTTGTCCTGTCCTCGCTGTTGGCCACGTCACACCCAGGTCCTAGCCTTGGCTCTCCCTTGAGGCGGTAGCCCAGTCTTGGGGTCCCTGGAGGGTGACTGAAGTACCTGGAATGTGGAGTCCCCAGCCACTCAACCTCACGACAGGGCCGGGACCCTGTCCCCTCCTCAGGAGCCCTCCAACCACTTTCTTTGCCCCACAGTCCTCAGACGGTGCTGAGCCTCCAGCCCCCGCTTCAGCCCAGGTCCCCAGCACGGACATCCGGCCGCCAGGACAGATGCCCCAGCCGGCCAGCAGTGGCCTGGATGACCTGGACCTCCTGGGGAAGACCCTCCTGCAGCAGTCACTGCCCCCAGAGGCCCAGCAAGTGCGGTGGTGAGGGCTGCCTTGCCGACTCGGGAGGGAGCCTCCGTCCCCGCAGACCAGCTGTTCTGGGCCTGTGCGGGCCCGGCAGGAAGGCTCGCCGTTCCCAGAGTGACCAAAGCAGGCTCAGTGAAGGTTCCAGAGTGGAGTTTATGGAGAGAATCTGTGCCCACTCACATGTCCCCAGAAGTCCCCAGCAACAGGAAGGACACAGAGCTAAAGTGGGCAGGTGGGGGGGGGTGTCGGGGGGAACAGGAGCTGGCCATTCTACTGGCGAGGTGACCGAAGACCGGGGAGAGAGTGATGTGTGGGGATGGGCCAGGAAGCCCAGCCTTTCCTAGTCCCCTGATCTCCTGACCACCAAAGAGTCACTTTTAACACACTGTTCCCCAATAAGGGAGAAGCAGCAGCCAGCCCCCCGACTCACACTCCGGGACCTACAGAATAAGAGCAGCTCACCCAGCCCCAGTGCCGCCAGCCTCCTCCACGCCGTGTCCCCAGAGCCCCCTGGGCCTCCACAGCAGCCCCTGCCCACTGAGCTCTCACTGGCCAACATCACTGTGCCCCTGGAGTCCATCAAACCCAGTGAGTGGGGCAGGGTGGGAGGAGGAGGCGGAGCCAGGTCAGTGGCTGCCCCCTGGGCCCTGCCACTGGCCACCTTAGTGGGGAGCCCAGAGCAGTTGCAAAGCTGCTGCGTGAGCCCAGGTCCTGCAGCCGGGGCTCCTGGGAGGCAGACCCTGGCCCGGCTCCCCAGGAAGGCAGGAGTCGGGATACAAGGGTTTGGGCCCCAAGATTATGAAACCAAACTGTAATAAAAATGCAGGACCAAGCCTAGGACATGTCCCCCAGGAGCACTTGGAGGCCACTGCCCAGCACCAGGCCCTGAGCAGACACGAGGGCTAGCTGTCCTCTCCTTCTGGCCGTCTCCATGAGCTCACTGTGACCCAGGGTATCACGCCCTCCATGTCCCTGTCTTACCAGTAGGAAGACAGCTCAGAGAAGGGGAGTAGCGGGGTCACAGTGAGTGTGTGACCCAAACTCGGCACAGCCCTTCACCCCAGCCTGAGAGCCACAGGGCTCTGCTGCAGGGGCGTCCTGCCCGTCTGCAGACCAGGTGCACTGCTGCCCCGGCGGAGGCAGGCTGGGTGAGGGGTTCGCCCACTGGGGAGCCCATCGTCCCCCCTTCTCTCCACAGGCAGCATCTTGCCCGTGACCGTGTACGACCAGCATGGCTTCCGCGTCCTCTTCCACTTTGCCCGCGACCCGCTGCCTGGGCGAGCTGACGTGTTGGTGGTGGTGGTATCCATGCTCAGCACTGCCCCCCAGCCCATCCGCAACATCGTGTTCCAGTCAGCGGTGCCCAAGGTGACGCTGCAGGGCGGACAAGCACCCCTCCTCGAGGCAGGGCTGGGCTGGGGAGCCCGCTGCCTGAGGACAGGCAGGGACAGGGTCTCCCTTCTTTGCTGGGGAGCTGGGGGTAAAAGGGAGCCAAGGGACAGAGTCCCTCAGCGGGGAGCTGGCCGGGTTCCTCGGGCCATGGGAGGTGACCGGAGCTAGCTATGCCGTCTGCCCTCCTGCCACAGGTCATGAAGGTGAAGCTGCAGCCCCCCTCAGGCACGGAGCTGCCGGCGTTCAACCCCGTTGTCCACCCCTCAGCCATCACTCAGGTCCTGCTCCTCGCCAACCCCCAGAAGGTGAAGGGCCCAGCTGAGCCGGGCGGGGCTGTGGGCGGGGCCACCTCTCCTCCCCTAACCCTCCACCTTCGCCATCTGCCCAGGAGAAGGTCCGCCTGCGCTACAAGCTCATCTTCACCATGGGCGACCAGACCTACAGCGAGATGGGCGACGTGGACCAGTTCCCCCCACCTGAGACCTGGGGCAGCCTCTAGAACAGAGGGGCTGGGGAGAGGCTGTGGTGGCCCAGGACACCCTCTGTTCTCCGTGGCCACTTGCCCCTGGCCTGGTGCTTCTCTCCCCACCCTGTGGCCCCAAGTGACTCTTCCCCTCCTGCTTTGCCTCCCCACCTGCTGAGCCAAACCCAGCGGGAGGTTGGGCCTGGGTTCGCACCACCAGGGTCCCCCAAAACTGGTGGGGTCCTGGAGCAGGGAGGGGCTGCCCAGCCATGGAAGGACTTGGGTCTAAGGGAAGGAGCCTGGCCATCGGGCCCAGCCCTGACCCCAGCCCGGGTGGGGTCTTCCCCACCTGTCTCATGCCTTATGGGAAGGCCCAGCCATAAACGGGAGGTCAAGCTGGAGCTGGGGACCAGCCAGGCCTCCTCATAGGAACCCAGTGACCGGGGGACACCCGTGCCCCCACTGTTTGCACTCTGCTGTGTGGTTTGGCTCCTTTGCTTTTCTTTCGGAGTAGCCGGTGGCCGCAACCCAGGCCCTGCCTCCTGGGGGCCTCTCTTCACTTTGAGGTCTCTAGAGGGACTGTGAGAGCCCGGGATGAGGCCAGAGAGTGGCCTCCTGGGGCGCCTCACGCCTGTCCACCCATCTGTCCACGGTTAGCAGTGGAGGCGGCGGGGGCAGGGGCGCGAGTATTTATGAAAATAAAACGTCCTTGTTCCTGGACCAGCCGCTGTCTTGGCCCTTCTGAGGCTGATGGAGAGAGAAGGGGTCCTGGGGCTGCCTGTGAAACTCTGTCACCATCTTGGGAGGTCAGCCATGGTGTCATCATCCCCCCCCACCCCCCCTTGCCCAGAAGAGGCCCTGCTCAGGGGCCTGTGGCTGCTGAGCCACCAGAGCGTCCCACCCAGTGGTGGGGGGCGGGGCTGCTGGAAGCTGCTGCCTGTGGGGGGGGGGGGTCTGATGTGAAGGGGGTCTGCCCTCAGCACTTCCTCCTCCTGAGCTCAGCCCACAGGGCCACACTGCCCTGGAGGGACCCTGAGCCCCACTCCCCTGGAACCCCAGCAGGAGGCCATCCCCAGCTGCGGCTTACCCCCACCCAGGGGGCCAGGGTGCAGACCCGGAGCAGGCAGAGGTCACGTGGTGAGGAGGCCCCAGCCCCGCGTGCCATCCTGAGCCGGGGTTCTCTTGTGAAGGGGAGGCTGGCCACCACCTCGCAGCAGACACACTCCCTAAGGACCTGGGAGGTCCCACATTTAAGAAACCAGTTTTACTTTGTCGAATCCAGTGTTTTCCTGGTCTGAACTTGGCTGCTGAGCCCTGTCCACAGAACAGCCAGGTCCACGCTGGTGGTGCAGGGTGACAGGAGACACGTCCCCACGGGGCCTCTTCCCTATCAGATCTCCACAGTGTGACTCATGCCTGTGTCCCACCTGAACGGGGCCGTGTGATCTCATCCTACTCCCCTTCCCTGAATGCTACACCTCCAAAGTAACTGCAGTTGGAAGGTGCCCACCTGGAGTCTCAGGGTCACATCTCAAGCATACTGTCCTACTGTCCCTGAAGGGCTGCAGGTTGGCTTGGAGACAGCATGGTGGGCTTAGAGTTGGGGCTGGTTCCAGCTGCCGTGCTGGGGCTGGCCTGCCGTGTGACGACTGGACGTGCTTCCCTTTCTGGCCCTGAGGTCTCTTGTTTGAAAAGGTGGGAGGGACCCACTGGGCCTAAAGGCCCTTCAGAAGAGTCCCAGAGTCAAAGGACCCAGGCAGTTAAGGGACAGGGAATCCCTTCAACCTCAGACCTTCTGCCCTCCTGTCCTTGTCCACCATGGCTGCCCACCAGGCCAGTCTTGTTGGGGTGCCCCGGTGCAAGGCAGGCCCGGTCCTCAGCTCACGCTGGCACCCTAGGGGTGGGGCAGGACAGGACATGGGCTAATAGCAGTCTGAGGGTCCCAGCAGGTTCTGACCAGAGGAGGGGCTCTTGTCCCCACTGCCTGGAAGGCCCTGTGTGGCTTCAGGCAGGCCTGGAGTTGGGCTGGGCAGGGTGCTCAGGGGAAGCAGCTCTTCTCCTGAAGGGTGACCCCCACCACCATGCCAAGACCATGGGACTTCCCGACATGGAAGCCACACTCCAGCCACCGTTAGGCCAGGGCAGCAGTTAGTCTTAGTAACCACAGCAAACCGCTCACCTGTTAAGACGCCAAGAGCAACGGGAGCCCTCCCCCGCTCCCTCAGTCTCCGCAGCCCCCTAGCCAGGGTGCAGGACCCAGGAGGCCAGCCTGGCCTGAGGCCACACCTGCAGCCCCTCCATGAAGTCTCAACTTCCCTGGGAAGACAGGAACTGAGGCTTGGGCCAGCTCCGGAGGTCACACATGCAGGGCCTGGAGTCTGCACCAACAGTCTAGAGAGGAGCTGGCCACCAGGCGCACGGCACTCCCGGCCCCAGAGCCTGCTCCTCCAGCCTCTCTCAGCCCTGACTGTGGTCCTCTGGAGCAAGGGCACACACTATCCTGGGGCTACTGATGGGAGGCCTTGTGCCTCAGCCCCACCTGAGGGTTCCTGGAAAGCCCTTTGGCTGGGAGCAAGGGTGAAGGAGTTCTAGAATCCCAGAGAGCACACCAGTGCCCAGCTGCTCTGGGCAGAGGCCACACAGCGCAGTGCCGGGCTGACCACAAACCAGCAATTTGTACAAGTGTCTCAGATGGGATGCTGCCCCCGCCACTGCCGACCTCACAGCAGCCGCTGCCCCGCCTGCACCCTCCTCCCCACAGACACCTCTCTGTTGGTGCAGGAAAATCCGTGCCAAGACCGTGGGGCCCCTCCAAGTGGCCACAGGTTGAAGCAGGGGCGAGGGCCAGTACTAACGGAGTTTCCAGGCGTTGCCACCACAGAAAGGAAAGCAACTGTGGGCTTTGGGGCTGACATCTGCCCTCTGCCACTCAGCCAGCAAGGGGCCCTGGGCCAGCAGCAGCCATCTCATCTGTAAAATGGGGACAAAGACAAAGCTCACTGGAGGATGTGCTAAGGACTGTGGAGGCAGCAGACTCATCTCAAGGGCGACCTAGGCGGAGTGGGGTGAGGGCTCCTTCCACTGGGCTTTTGGCGGGCTGGAAAACAAAGGAAACCAGAAATGGCCAGGTACTTTTCTAAGCATTTTCCACATTAATCCCTCTAAGCCTCCCAGGCCCCATGGTCCATCTTACCATGGGGACACCGAGGCAGGGGGTGAACCATCTTGGGCAAGATTGAGAGGTGAAGCTGGGCCCACCCGCTCCATGGCCCCCTACAGCTCTATCCTCACAGTGGTTGATGCCAGGTCCTCTCTTGCCATTCGGGTGGGCTGGGCTCCCAGGGATCCTGCATGGGCCGGATGAGTGCCAGGACTCCCCCCAGGAGGAGACACAACCTGGTGTAGAGCCAGGTAAGTCACAGGCCCCTTGGTTAGGAAAGGGACGTGGGAGGGGTCAGCTGGTCTGAGGCCTTTCCGCACCTGCATTTCTTTTTGTTTTGTTTTTGTGGTGCTGGGGATTGAACCCAGGGCCTTGTGCATGTGAAGCCAGCACTCTACCAACTGAGCCATATCCCCAGACCCCACACCTGCAGTTTCTAAAAATTCCACAATCCCAGTGATCCCAGCGTTCACTGATGGAAACCGCATCTGATCACAACATCTTTCCAAGGACAGCTTCAGACCCAAGCTCTGGGGCTTCCAGCCTTCTATGACTCAACAGCCCCATGTGACATGAGAGGCCCTAAAACACACCGGTGCCCAGCTGCTGATGACACCAGTCGTCCAGTCAAGAGGTACAGAGCCCAGGCCAGGTCAGAACCAGAAGTCTCCTGGGTCCGGCTAGAGGGGAACCTGGATCCCTGGCTAGAGGGGACAGCCTGATACGATGCTGGCTGTTTCCACAGAAGCTGCAGCTAAGTCCATGTGGACCGGTCCCCTCCTAGACCAAGCCAGGCCTCACCCTCAGGAACCTTCAGACCAGATGAGCAGCTGGACAAGCCCAAGTCCGCTGTGGTTTGGGCTGGAGTTTGCGCTGGAAGAGGACAGGAGCATGGCGGAGTCCAGAGACTTCCCCAGGGTGGGAGAGCTGGCACCTGAGGTCAGGCTGCCAGCCTGGGAATCTTCAGCTTCCCAAGGCTGTGCCCAACAGGCTGTGCCCATTGCAGAGACAAGAAAACAGAGCCACAAGGAAGTTCTAGGATCTGGCTAGTGGGAAAGGTGGAAGGGAAGGACCAGAACCCCGACATCCAAACCCAGGCCCACAATATGCACTCTGCTCTCCAGGGCTTCCCCACACCCTCCCCAGGATCCCTGGCCAGCAGCCTTCCTGTGGGGGAAAGGAGGTGGGGAGGGATCCCCTCACCCAGACCTGAGCCTTTGATCCTGGAGCCAGGATTCCACTCAGGTGGGCTCCCAGCTGGGAGCAGCTGCCGGGTTCCATCTCAGCTCCTCCAGCCTCCATGGGGCCTGCCAGACCCTCCTTCAGGGACTGGAGGGGCAGCCAGTTTCCAGTGAGGCCCTGTTCTGGGCACCAGGAATGTGGAGATGTCTGAAGCCAAGGTGTTCCCTTTGGGGAGTGCCCGTCTGTCCACCACAGACAGTAGGTGCTGGGCAGAGCTGGAACAGAACAGAAACTGACTTCATAAAGTGGAGGGAGCTGGGGCCTCTCCCACACCCCCTCCCCTGATGCCTGCTGGCCACATTGGGAAGGGAAAGGACAGCCCTTTCTCAGTGGCTCTTGTCCTGTATAACCAGAGTACCTGCTGGGCAGGCCAAAGAGCTGACTCCGGGGAAACAGCGCCCACATCACCGACTTACAAAAAGCCAAGGGCAGGAGTTGGGGACATTTGCCAGGAGGAATGAGAGGAGAAGGGGCTTTACAGATGCAAGAAATTGTCCCTGCTGAGGTCCCCCACAGGGGGACAAAAGCAGGAATTGGGAGGCTGGAGGAGCAGATGGGGGGGGGGTCAAGACAGCAGTGCACTAGGGACTAGGGTGCAGAGTGCCAGGGACTTGTCCCAGGGTAACAGCAGCCAGTGGTCCCAGAAGTCAAAGCTCCCAGCCCGCCAGCCAGCAGGGGCAGCCGGGTCAGAGGTGCTCCGGGACAGGGAGCCGGGGCCACATCCCTCTGCCGGCCCCAGGGACAGCACGGGTCAGAGAGGCCCCTGTCCTGGGCCTCCCTCCCAGCCGCGCAGCCCTCCTTTTCCTTGAGAGGGGTGCAAAGGTTGTTTGTACCCAAGGCCCGCGCGACGGAGGGCGGTGGCGGCCGCAGCTTACCTGCTTCCCGCCACGGGCGGGGCCAGGCGGGCGGGGAGGAGCCGGGCGCACGACCTGGGGACCGCGGGCGGCCGGCCGGCGGGACACTCGCGGGGCGGCCGAGCGAGGGTCGTGGGGGGCCCGGAAGCCCAGGGAGAGCGGGACGACAACTTGGAGAGAGGAGTGACCTGGGGGCCGGGGGCGGAGTCGGCGGGAGGAGGCAGCCGGGGCGCGCGGCCCAGGAAGCCGAGCGCCGCCCACCCATCCGGGCCAGGCGGCGCGGGAGGCAGCGCCGGCGCCCGCCCCGACCCCCGCCGCGACCCCGCGCCCAGGCCGGCCCCACGATGATGAAGCGGCAGCTGCACCGCATGCGGCAGCTGGCCCAGACGGGCAGCTTGGGACGGTGAGTGTCACCCGCTTCCAGCCCCGCTCTCGCCCCGCAGGACCCGAGAGGGCGCGGAGAG